GATAGTTCAAACTTAAAAGCTTTTAAAATTTGAAAATAAATTAATCAATAAATAAATTTTCAAAAAAACTCTTCGTTTTACAAAAAATAATTTATCATCAAAATATTAATATTTTAATGACACTATTTATTGTTACATCAATAATTTTTATGCGTGTTGTTTGCCAACAAATAATATTATTTGCAAGTTCATTTTCAGATAAAAAACTTGTTAACTTAGAAAGTAAACTTTCAATCTAATTAGATTGGACTTTATATCCTAAAAATCTACTCCAAACTGGATTTGGCTCATTATCTGTTGATGATGATGATTATGCAGGATTGTATTCTATGAATGGAGTGCAATAGAATAGCTACCTTGCTGGAATGTATAAAATTTATGAAAGTATTCCTGCTCATTCTACACTAATAATAAAAGCAAAAACATTAATGTTAAAGAATTTAATATATATTCAGGTAAAATTTTGGCTTTGGAGGAACAGGTACATGTAGAGTTAGAGCAGATGGATTATTAATTATTCAAATTGCGAACTAGTTAGATCTAATTAATAATTACAAAATAAATAGTTTTTCAGTACCTTATTAATCATCATCATCTGCTGTTTTAATTGAATTTCATTTTGAAGCCATTGGTGATTATTAAGTAAATTTATTAATTAATAATTTTTAGAGTTTGACTTTTGGATTTCGAGAATTTGAGCTGTATTATAAAACATGTCCTCCTGGATGTACATTTTGTTAAACCTCAGAGCTTTAGTCAAATGATTGTAATTTTTGGTCTTTAGATCAACGATAATTATTTGATTAAAGTTCATTGAATGAAGGTTGGACAATAAGTTTTAAAGACAAGAAATAATATCGAATGGATTATTGTCAAGGTTTTATATGATAAAATTAAGCTAGATGATAAAGCTCTTAATTTGATAGGATTTGCTTTACCAACAGAATCTATTGAAAGAACACTATATTTATAACCTCATTATAAAATGTTAATTTTATACAAATTGCTATTATTAGGAGCAGATTCTATTGTATTTTCATATTTCTATTTTGAATTAAATGATGTAATTGTAAGCGATATTAAATTTGCTACTTATCTAAAAACATCCTAGATATGCAAACATAAAAATCCCTCAAGTATGGGAGACTACGTTTAGTAGGTAAAGTATGAAGATTTTAATTAAAATACAATACTGAAATTAAGAATTTTTACTTAAGGCAGAACATACTTTTAAAAGTTAAAGTGGTCAATTAGAAACTTAGAAATTTTTATTAAGAAATGCCATCCAGATTGTACTGAATCTTGTTTTGGTCCAAGAGCAAATTAATGTTCAAGGTAAAAATACCCAAAATTTCAAAATTTTATAAATTATTTTACAGAACCATTATTTACAGATACATAAGAATGGTAAATGATAACTCCAATACAACCTAAATCACCAAATTATTGTAGTGGTATATCAATTTTTGGAGGTTATTTACAATTAGGTGGTGATCATTATATTTAAAGAATTATTACATTAGAAGATCACTAAACAATTTAAATTTCATTTAAGCTTTATTAAATCGATAATTTTAATAATGATATATTATATGTTGTAGTTGATGATCAAATTGTATATTAAACTGTCTTAGAACCTATTATAGATACATCAAAAGCAACTATATTATGCGGGATCTATGAGGATTATGATTTAATTGTTAAAATATCAACACCTATAATTTAACATACTTAAAAAAAAAGTATTATTTAAATTTATACTAATTAACCAACAACATCATAAGGATATTGGGGAATTAGAGATTTTATTATTAAATAAGATTCAATAATTTATATATAAGAATTAAAATAAGTTAGATTTTTAATTAATGATTGGATTAATTTTGCATGGATTATAACATAAAAAGTTTAAACAATTGAAATATGCAAAAATAAAAATTATATAATAAGTAATAATATATTAGGATAACCATCTAAATTTAGAAAAATTATTAAGAATTTACCATTACATTCTAAAATTAGAATATAATTCATTATAATACTTACTTATACAACAATTAATGAAGATATTATTTAAATTAATTATTCTTTAGATTAAAATGAAAATTAAATTACAAAAAATTTATAATTGATAAATGATTAATATTGTGAAACTGCAACATTAAGTAAAGCTTATAATTTTGATGACTTCATTAATCATTCTAATACTAATCTATTTTTAATATTATCAATTGATTCTATATCAATTAATTGGGGAATTAGAGATTTCTAACTTTCATATTCTGATTCATGATAATTATACATTTATTAGTATTTTATATTTAAATTTTTTATTTATACATAAATAATATTTAGAATCTATTAATATTTATATCATAATATACTATATAAAAAACACTAGTAGATTGTCTATTCTAAATTTAAATGAAAAGCTAAGGTTTTTGGATATTATTATATAATATTTTTTAAAAGATATACTCTGCATATAAAGTAATTTTTTTCTAAATTGTTTGATAGGAAAATAATAGACATAAATCTGGTTTTAGATTTTAAGGAAGTTTATCTACCTCTTGAATTTCAGATAATTTAATTATCAAATTAACTTCTATTCTTCAAATAATTTATTTTGGATCAATAAAGTTTAACGATATTTATCAGTGGTTTAATGATTTTATAATAATTTAATATAAATTTCTGAATCTTAAAAATAACATAAATATTTATTAGAAAACTTTAGAAAAAATTAGACGATAATATATATTGGAAAATATTCAAAACCAATCTAAATTTGTATAGAAATCAACATTCAAACAGATTTTCAATTATATTTTAAGTAATTAAAAATAAAATAACATCCAATATATTTATAAAGAAAATAATATAATATTGCTTGTTATAATCTTGATTGTTGAAAAAGCTTTTCATTTTATAAAAATTATCTATATATATAGTATTATTAGCAATAGAATATTCATTATGCCAAAATAATTTAGAACCAATCAAACAGTTTCAAAATCAACAATTAAAATAACATAATATATTTATATATTTTCAAAACTAAAACTGGATTCTTTGAATTTGTAGCAGTTTTATGAGAAATTATATCATTTATTGCAAACAAATAATATTTAGATCTATAAATATAATTAATAATGGGAAGTAGTGCCTCAACTAGAATAAATGAATTCTAAAAAATAGAGGCTGATCTTAAATTGACCACTCTACCTGACTTAGATAAAGTACAAATACTCTTATTCTTTAGCTTTTAATTGTTGCCTAAGATCTTCTTAAATTAACTGAACAACTTAGATAAAGGATTGTATCATATCATGACCTAATGTTAAGAATAGTCAAATTACAGTCTTATAAAGAAGTCGCCTTAGTTGATGCCTTCAAAATATGGTATTTGTGTACTTTAGTGTGTAATGACACAAAAGAAGACAGTGTTTAATTTGAATGCAAAATTTAAAATTTTGATCAGGAAGTCTTGTCAGAAAGTTTAAAGAAACTAATGAGTTTTGTACTGATCTTTATCTATAAATAGGGTAGCGTCGTGGCTTTTGCAATTGAAGAAAAATTCATTCAAGATGAGAAAGAACATCTGATAATTTGTGACACAGGAATATGTGGAGATTTTAAACTACAATTATGGCCTTTTGTTTGCTCGTCCTTTTTAAGTTACTTAAGATCTGCGGTTAGACTAGTTCCATTTTTAGAAGAGAAAATCAATAGCTAAATTAATTTAATAAGAAAATACTTAGATGTACATAAAGCAGAGAAGTTAACAAAAATGGTAAATTAATAGTCTTTAACTCTTATTTGTGAATAAATTAAATATTTTGGAATATTGGTAGATAAATATCATTAAGAAGTAAAAGTATTTACTAAAAAATACAAAGAAATTATGAAAGAATTGCATCCTTTAAGTTAGGAAGTGTTAAGAGAAGAAGGAAATCAAAATTATATTCTTAATGATGAGTAATAATCATTAATTTATATTTATAGGAGAACAATCTTAAAAACAAAAATACAAGATATTGTAAGAAAATATACACCCAATTATGAACTTAAAGAAGTAGTTTAAATAAGATAAGAAATGTAATTAAAAGAATAAAGGAGAAAAGTAAAACCAAAAACAAAGTTGGAAAGAAGAAGAACAGAACAAGCAGCTTTAACATTCCCTACTACTTATCATTGGGTTGGCCATGAGTACTTTGACACTTTTTTTTCAGCATAATCATTGACTTTGTCTGAATTAGAAGAGTGCCGTGCATAAGGAGAAGAAGCTCGAAAAAAGTTATTTAAAATCACTGGAGTCAATTAATGGAAAGATAATACTATAAAAAGTGTATTTGAATGTCTTACATGGATATTATCTGCAGAGCTTAATAAGAATCTTAAAAATAAAGAGTTTAAACTGCTTAAGGATGACCCATGGCTTCATTTTATAAAACAAAAAAAACATAAATTTACTGAGCTTTCTTATTAAATAGTTACTAATTTTAAAATATGGTTGAAATATTTTAGTCCAATTAGATATGAAAGAATCAGTAATTATTAGTATTTTTCTTTATATCATTATTTAGTTAAGATTTCTTAAAAAGATAAAGAGAACTTGAAAAGAATAAATTTGAATTTCATCATTTAATAAGAGATCTTCCCCCTTAAAATTAATATAACGCACTTTCAAGTTTTACTAAGAATATTAGAGTAAATGAAACTTACTTAAGTAAAATTGAAAAGCTTTTTGAAATGACCATCAAAAGCAATGGTAAAATGGGAGAAGAATTATATGAAAATTGGCAAGAGATCGTTGATTAAGCTGATTCAATTAAGTATGAATTAGGAACTCCGTTTAATGAATTCATTAAAGAATTTAGACCCAATACTTTGGCTGAATTAGACTAATTGTAAAATAGAAAGGCTGAAAGAAGATAAACAAAGCTATCGATAGCTTGTATTGAAATTTGAATATAATTTAATATAAATATTATTCATTTTCAAGAAACCAAAATCTTTTCATATTATATTATAACATTTCTGATACCAAAGTAAATTATTGATTCTGTTGGTCCACCTAGGTGTATAAAATTAATGTTATTACTTCCATCAGCTATAAAATCTAAAACGCAATTTGAACTTTAATGATCTATTAAAGCTTCAAAAATAAATTTTTAGCTTCGATTAGAATTATCACATATATTTATCTCAGAAGTTAATAAAAAATTTTATTTCCAAACATTTTATCCGTCAATTTACAAGTAAAGATATTTAGAATTATTAAATTTGAATTGATAAACGACTACTACTTCAAATTTAATGAAAATTCTAGTATGATTTGGAATATCCTTTAGTTTTTTACGGAGGATTGTATTTTTCTGAATATAAATTAGTTTAAAATTCAAATTTTAACAATTCAGTATTTATAGGGTGTCAGTAAATCTATGCCAAGATATTACCGTTTTATCATCCTTTACCATTGATTAGGCCACTAGTTTCATATCAGCTTTGATTTATAGTTCTCGAATTCCCCAACGTCCTAATTAGTAAATATAATTACCAACAGTAGTTGTTCCTAATACATAAAATTTAATTATAGCATTATTAGAAGCATGGTCTATTGAATTGACTTTAACTTAAAAGGAAGTATCAAGTTATTGAGTATTTCCGCATAATTTTGAACCAATAGATAAATCATTAATATAAACTAACTATTATTCATAAACTATGACATCATCTACATCAACATATAATTTTTCGTTGTTTTGAAATGAATCTATTTAATAAAATAAAAATTAAATAAAAATTTAACTATGTTGGGGTAGGTTAAAAATAGTATAAGATAATTTTTAAATAGATATATCCTACACTCCTCCTATAATTTACTAACCATTGCAAATTTTGTTATCGGTGTAAACAGATATTTAATTCCATCCATCAAACGAAATAAGTTATGAATCAGTGAAGAAACTAACAAATTACATTAATATGCTATTTGCACTAAAGCAATCAGATATTAAAGGACCTGAACAACTATATAAGCAGCTAGAATGGCATTTTTTCAATAATATTCTAAAATCCCTTATTCCCCAAGGTGTGTTTATGTCTGATGCTTATTATTATGCAATTGTTATTTTTAAAATAGGTTGATTATGAGCTCTTTAAAAATTAACTCTGGTCACTTAATCACCTGTAGGTGATGACATTTATTCTGAAGGTATGTAGTTACAAATCATCAACTGTAAAACATCAAGAAGTTCAACAATTTCATAAACAGTTAAATCATTAAATAAAATAGTAGTTGTTGGTTTAGTTTATCGATTAAAATTTATGTATATTATTAGAAATTAGATCTATATTGCATAATGGGGTTACAGGAAGACAGTTTTTTCTAATTTAGTTGTCTTATCAAAAAATCCAAAAAAATAAAACTATGTTTCCCCTATTCTTATAAATAATTCTACTTCCACATTTATAAATATTTGCTGGTTTTTCTCCAAGTGGTTTCCAACCATCATTATTGAAATTATATAAGTCTTTAGCTTTCATTTTATAATCAATCACAGACCAAATTATACAGGAAGCAAGAATGTTCGAATTACAGCTTTAGCAACCAGATGGACATAATACCAAATCAATGGTTAATTCTCTAAATCCAGAAGTTGACATCTAATTAGAATGAGACATTAATACTGCTGGAATATCTCCCAATTACAAAAATTCTAGTAGGAGGGTCTCTGATGTATGGGAAAACTCACCTGAAAATGCACCAGAATAGAAAAAAAAAAAGTTATTTGTCTCACTAAAATAAGATATTTTCAATACTAAAAAATAACCTTTCCATCAGCAAAAAGATAGGATTCTTATTCGTAATTAATTGATTTCAAGATCAACCAGCTAGTTATTCAATACATAATTTACGATTTATATTTGAATGCCACCCTAACTTAATAGTGAGGAGGTAGATCATATATCATAATATACCCTCCTTCTACAGTTTTGCTACCATAGAAACAATTGAGGCCAAAATATATTTAACCAACAGGAAGAGGCCCAGAAGGTGTCTCACATTTATAATTCCAACCTTAATATAATTTTAAAATTTTAACCTTCAGTGTTTGGGATATTATTTGTATTTTGTAAAGGATTGCTCATAAAAAAACTAAGATAGCTAGATTGAGCTACATATATAACAAAAAATATTTGCAAAATACGCAAATTCATTAAAATTAAATTTTATTTTATTAGTTTAGAAGCTTAACCAAAGTACAATACTTAATAAATACTAAATACTTCAATTAGTCTTCATTAATAAATTTAAAAATAGATTTAAATCTATTAAAATTTATAGTTTTTTTTATTTTCATCCTGATTATAAGATTTTTTGATTGAAAACGCAAATTTTAAGGATTATTTATTTTTTTTTATATGTAATTGTTTTATAATTGGAATTGAATTAATAAAAAATACTCTTTTGTTTTATTTTTAATATCTTGAGAGTTTTGTAGTGTTGAAAATTGTTTCTAATGATTCGAATTATCTGGATGATTTTAGAATTTACGCCTATGTCTTAATTTAGATAAGAATTGAAGATGTTTTATAAGCAATAGCATTAATACTGTTTTATCTCTAGATTCCTCCTCCTTAATATCTAGTATCATAATCAGTAATTAAAAAAAAAGAATTTTAAGGAATATTATATGCTATACGCAAATGACAAAAGTAAAATCGTACCATTACTTTATATCTTAGAATTTTTATAAGATACTGTTAAATTATCTTTGCTATATCATTACTAGCCATTCAAAATAGAATTGAATTAATTTGAAATAATATTTATTAAAAATTCATAAAAATCTTTTCTAAATTTGATTAGTTATAATGTTAATTTGATATATATTTTAATCATTAAAATATAAAGATTTCGATTGAACTCTATATTAATATTTCAGTTTTCGTTATATCTACAGGGATATAGTGATTTAAAAAAATCTTCTAATTAATTTAAAAAAAAAGTCTGTTTTTTCGGTTAAATTTAATAAATTTTATAGTTATTTAACCTTATTATATGAATTAATTAATAGTTAAGTTAATAATTGTTACACTAGTTGCTAGTCAGTAGATTGTTTTGTTTTCTACTTCATTTACAGATAAAAAATTCACTAGTTTAGAAAGTAAAACATCATTATTTAAGCAGATTGGAGTTTATACCCTTAAAGTCCGCTTAAGCCTGGTTATGGCTCTTTAACTAGTGAAGATGATGATTATGCAGGCTTGTATTCAATAGTTGGTGTGAGTATGAGGAGCTATCTTAACGGAATGTACAAAATTTTTGAAAATATTCCCCCACATTCATCTTTGATAATTAAAGCGAAAACATTAATGTATAATTTGAATAAAACTTAGGCAAAATTTTGGTTTAGGTGGCCTTGGTATAATTCATATCAGAATAGATGGAAAGTTAGTTACAAGATTTCAAAGAGAACTTGATCAAGATAATAATTAAAAAATATATAGTAGCGAAATATTTTTTATTTCGTCATCATCTAGTGTTATAATTGAATTCCATTTTGAAGGAGTTGGTTATTATTAAGTAAATTATCTGTAAAATATATGAGGATATGACTTTTGGATTTCGAGAATTTCATTTGTATTATAGAAAATGTCCTGATGGATGTTTATATTGTTAAACTTTGGATTCAAATTAAAACCATTGTAATTTTTGGTTTCAAAATCATCATTCTTTGCATGACTCAAACTCATTGAATGATGGTTGGGCAATCATTTAAAACGACTAGACATTATATAAGATGGAGTATTGTCGAGGTACATAGTTATTTTATATTCTAGATGATAAAGCTCTAAATCTAATAGGAATAATTTTACCAACTGAAGCTTTTGAAAAGACCCTATATCTAGTACCTCACCATAAAATATTAATTTAATATAAGCAACTATTACTAGGAGCAGATTTCTTTTCCGCTGCATATTGGTCACTTGAATTAAATGATGTAACTGTTAAAGAAATACCTTTTTTTACATATCATAGAACTTCTTATTTATGCAAACATCACAATCCTTCAAGTTTGGGGGATTACATAACATAAGTCATTTATGAGGACTTTCATTAAAATACAATAGTGAAATTAAGAATTTTCACTTAAGGTAGGATTTTCTTTTAAAAGTTAAAGTGGACTATCAGAGACTTTGAAGTTTATATTTAAAAATGCCATCCAGATTGTACTGAATCATGCTTTGGTCCAAGGGCAAATTAATGTTTAAGGTAAAAATACCCAGAATTTCAAAATTTTGTAAGTTATTTTACAGAACCCTTATTTACAGATACATAAGAATGGTAAATGATAACTCCAATACAACCTAAATCACCAAATTATTGCAATGGTGTATCAATTTTTGGAGGTTTTTTATAATTAGGTGGTGATCATTATATTTAAAGAATTATTACATTAGAAGATCACTAAACAATTTAAATTTCATTTAAGTTTTATTAAATTGATAATTTTAATAATGATATATTATATGTTGTAGTTGATGATCAAATTGTATATTAAACTGTCTTAGAACCTATTATAGATACAACAAAAGCAACTCCATTATGTGGAATTTATGAAAATTATGATTTAATTGTTAAAATATCAACACCTATAATTTAACATACTTAAAAAAAAAGTATTATTTAAATTTATACTAATTAACCAACAACATCATAAGGATATTGGGGAATTAGAGATATTATTATTAAATAAGATTCAATAATTTATATATAAGAATTAAAATAAGTTAGATTTTTAATTAATGATTGGATTAATTTTGCATGGATTATAACATAAAAAGTTTAAACAATTGAAATATGCAAAAATAAAAATTATATAATTAGTAATAATATATTAGGATAACCTTCTAAATTTAGAAAAATTATTAAGAATTTACCATCACATTCTAAAATTAGAATATAATTCATTATAATACTTACTTATACAACAATTACTGAAGATATTATTTAAATTAATTATTCTTTAGATTAAAATGAAAATTAAATTACAAAAAATTTATAATTGATAAATGATTAATATTGTGAAACTGCAACATTAAGTAAAGCTTATAATTTTGATGATTTTATTGATCATTCTAATACTTATCTATTTTTAATATTATCAATTGATTCTATATCAATTAATTGGGGAATTAGAGATTTCTAACTTTCATATTCTGATTCATGATAATTATGCATTTATTAGTATTTTATATTTAAATTTTTTATTTATACATAAATAATATTTAGAATCTATTAATATTTATATCATAATATACTATATTTAAATATACTAGGAAATTACATAATTTTATCTAATAATAATAATAAATTGTTTATTTATTGCTATCACCCATATTTTGTGAAGATTTTAATCTTTGCGTTAATAGTTTAAGCAATTAATATGATATTATATTTTTCTTATTTAAAAATATCTATATAAAATGAGATAATCAAAGTACTTTAATTCTATTTAAATCTTATATGAGATATACTTATATTTTTTTATCTCTCCAAAAAAAAGAGTGAAAATTTAGATATATGTTTTTGTTATTATTCAATAAATTAAGAAATAAATAGAGAGCAGTAAAACTATGTTTTAATAAAATAATATTGTTTTTTGGTTTATACTAATTCTCTATGGTCAATAATGCAAATGAGATTCGTTTAAATGGAAATAAAATTGGCAAAATTTATTGAATCAATAACGATGTTAATTATTTTGATATGTATTTTTCATAAAAGTTGTTCTAAAATAATAAGCTATATATATTTTATTTTACACAAAATCTTAATTGAGAGATGTTAGATGTAATAATGAAAATTAACATAAATAGAAAAAAGACCAGGGCAAGTTCTAAAATTTTCTACTTTAATTGAAGGCTTTAATTGATTCATTTTTGACTCCAAGTCCAGAACCAGAGGAACAACCAAAACAATAAGTCACAAAAGCAAAAAAACAAAAAAAAAAACAAAAAGATCCTCTTGCTCCTAAAATGCCAAAATCAGCCTTCATTTTTTACTTTTAGGACAAGAAGGAGAGATTTTAATCATAATATCCAAGTCTTTATTAAATGTAAAGCTAGATTTACAATTTTAAGAGATCACAAAATTGATAGCTAGTGAATGGAAAGATTTGCCAAAGGAAATCCAATAGGTATCTCAACTAAAAAATAAATAGCAATATCATGTTTAAGCAGAATAAGATAGAAATAGATACTCTTAAGAGCAGGAGTTATATTAATCACAAACAGGGAAATAACCAAATGGGAAGGGTTAAGCAAAAAACAATAAATAGAGTGCTAAAAAGGAGAAAATTATAAAAACTTTTGATTTAGAAGAAGACAATGATTCTTTTGGTGCAGACATAGGTCAGGACTGATATCTATATAAGAATATTTTAAAATAATATTGATCTAAATATTTGAAGGAAATAGTCAATTTTTTATTAAATACTTATTGTCTAATAAATTATAAAGATATTAGTATGTTTAAATCAACTTATTTTTTTATTTATTACTTAAACAACTTTATAATTATCATTCCATTATATTATTTTTTTGAATTTTTAAAAATCTTTATCAAAATTCAGATGGACGTAAAGATAGGAAGATCGTTTAAATTAACAAAGAAATTGGGTTCAGGTGCTTTTGGAGAAATATTTCATGGAATCAATCTAAAAACAAACATGGAGGTGGCAGTTAAACTTGAGCCTGTAAACACTAAGCATCCATAACTGTTTTATGAAGGAAAATTATACTAATACTTGCTACAAGAACCCTCAGTTATTGATAAAGGAATTCCAAATGTTTACTATTGTGCAACAGAAGGTATTTAATTTTAGTATATTTAAGGTGAATACAATATCATGGTTATGGATCTTTTAGGGCCATCTTTAGAAGATCTTTTCAATTTATGCGGCAGAAAGTTTTCACTAAAGTCAGTATTAATGTTAGCTGATCAAATGATTTAAAGAATTGAATATGTTCATTCAAGACACTTTTTACATAGAGATATTAAACCAGACAACTTTCTAATTGGAACAGGCAAAAGGTAAAATATATTTAAATTTAAATAGAGCTCATAAGGTGTATATTATCGATTTCGGATTAGCAAAGAGATATATATAAAAAGATGGAAAACACATACCCTATAAAGAGGGCAAGAATTTAACAGGAACAGCCCGTTATGCTTCAATCAATACTCATCTTGGCATAGAACAAGTAAAAAATGCATTTAAACTTTAGGGAAGAAGAGATGATCTTGAATCATTAGGCTATGTTATGATGTACTTTTTAAGAGGATCTCTCCCATGGTAAAATCTTAAGGCTTCTAACAAAAAAGATAAATATGAAAAGATTATGGAGAAGAAGATTTCAACATCAATAGAAACATTATGCAAAGGATTTCCATAAGAATTAGCTACTTACTTAACATATGTAAGAAATCTGAGATTTGATGAAAAACCAGATTACAGTTACTTAAGAACTTTATTAAAGGACTTATTTACAAAGAGTGGATTTGAGATGGACTATATTTATGATTGGAATCTGATTTAGAAAACAGATGGTGCTCCTGGATAAACTACAAACAATTCATAACCATAATAGCCGGCAATCGGTTAAGTACCCGCCAAATAAGGTTGATTATCAACCTTAAAGATTATTATATATATATATATAAAAATATTATAAAAGAAATAATCAATAATAATCTATTCATTTTATTTGATAAATTTCAGAGCATAAAGGAATGATATATAATTTTTACACTATTAAATGAGTATAAAATAATAGAGCTTATTTTAGATATGATTATTATATATTTTGTCATTGTCAAGATACTATAATTTATGATTAAAATGCAGTAATTATTATTAGTATAATATTTATGTTCTTTAAGTTTTTAATTTAGAATAGGGTAATTATAAATAACAATTTTAATTCTATAATGAATTTATAATTTATGATCTACTTTGTAATGAAAACCCATATATAAATATAGTTATACATAATTATGTAGATTAATAAAAATTAGATATAAAGTATCATTGAATTTTATCATAATAAATTGTAATATTTAAATTTATTACTTAAACTATATTATAATGATTAAAATTGATAATTTTCAATTTCAATATGTAAATAAGATGGACTGATATTTTATCAATTTATGAACTACTCTTTTTTTCTTTATTAAATTTAATTCCTATTCTGATATTAATTATTAGTATCATATACTAATTTTTACATTTAGATTTATGATTCACAGAAATAATTTTAATTTTATTATCTGAAATCAATCATATTAACTTGAGTGAATGGTAATAAATTAATATATAATAATTTTATATTATGCAAGTTAATTCAAATGAAGAGTTTTATCTCAGATATTAGTATAATTTAATATTTACTTTAGTGTGGGACATAAGGGTGTTTATGGACATGAATTTCTTGAATTTGAATTTAGAAATGATGGTCGATTGAGATATGCAAACAACTCAAATTATAAATAAGATGTTTTAATTAGAAAGGAATGTTATGTTTCAGAAGCAGTAATAGTAGAGATTAAACGTATCATTGAAGATTCAGAAATTATAAAGTATGATAATGCAATAAAAATTTCAGAGAAAATGATTCTAAATGGCCTGCACCTGATAAAATAGGGAGATAAGAATTAGAAATTAAATTAGGAAACAATCATATTTCATTTACTACATCTAAATTAGGATCAATATAAGATGTACAAAATAGCTAAGATCCTGATGGGTTGAGAGTGTTTTTCTACTTGGTATAAGATTTAAAATGCTTTGTATTTTCTTTAATCAGCCTCCATTTTAGAGTATTATTCTAGCTTAATATTATTAGATAAAGCCAGTCAATTGAGCATTATTGTATATTATATATATATATAATATAAGTATATAATTAAAAAAAATGATCAGAGATTGTTCACACTTAACAAATCAGCATGACTAAACTAAGTCCGCCCGTTACTTTGTCATCATTTAATAATAATTTTAATATCCATTCAGGTGAATGTAGGAGTATAATCATAAGATCATAACCCAGTGCTTGTTTTCATCATTAAATAATAAATTAAATAAATTAATGAAATAATTTGTTTAAAAATTATGGTTATGATCATTAAATAAATTAATTGTTTAGAATATAAATTTTTAATAATCATATATGATTTATGAATATAAAAATAGAATAGTTTGCAAATTTATGTTCTGAAAAAAAGGATTCTATTATTTTTTAAATAAAAATAAAGATTGATAAAAAAGTACATTAAATGGAAATTTTAATTGAGAGTACACATAATTTTATCTCTCTTTAAAATGAATAAAAATCTATTATAGATATAATTTAACCGATAATATATTAATATTTAGAAACAAAATGGAAATTATTATAAAATCAAATGATTGAATTAGAAATCTAAGTAAATAATTATATATCGTCTATATGTTATTTATCAATAAGAAGATTTGTAATTTAGATTTTAATATTATATTATCATTCATCATCAGAATTTTATGATTATTGTACTTTTTTTTCTTCATCCTTTTTTATGCATTCTTTTTCTTTTTCTTAATTTTCTTAATTTTCTTAGTTTTATTATTATTTATTTTATTATTATTATTATAAAAATTTTTCAAGAAAAGATCCATCATTCTCAAATTTATTTAATTATAATGCTTCTCTTTCTACTTTTTTTAATTATTTTTTCATTTTCAATTTTAATTTTTCTTATACTCTTTTATTATGTTTCTTATTTGTAATTTCTTGACTTTGCATAAATTTCTCCTCTCTTGTTTATTGAAATTCTTCATGTTCTAATCTCTATAATAATTAATTTTTTTATATACTTCATAATTGATTTCTTCCTCTTCTCTTTACCTTAAAGTTTCAGCCCTTTTAAATCTTCTATATGCATGTAAATCTCCACTACCTGCTGCTGCAGTTGCACTCTTAGTGATTGTTGTTCTTTCAACCCAAATGGAAGGTCTTTTACTAATTTCATCGCAAAATGAATTATACATTAAAAAAAATAATATTAAACACTATGATATTTAATATATTAAATATCTGTTATTTTTAAGAGTTCTATAGATTTTTTACTAAAGAATGTTATATTTTATCAGAATCATTATAATTATAAATTTCTACTTCTTTTAGAACTTAATTAATTAACAATTTATATGGAAAAAAACAAATTTTTAAGGATCTTACAAATTATTTTCTCTTCCCTTTGGATCATGATCAAAAAATTAATTTTTAACAAGTTACCATTACTATTCTTTATAATTGCTTTTTGCTTTATGTATTTCTTTGCAAACATAAAATCTGCTGATTCAACAATATTACAACTTATGGAGAGAGTACCTTATGGAATTGATTAAATGGTTATATTTTATGAACGTCAATAAATTGATTAAAACAATTTGAAATATCAGATGATATTGAAAGAAAAAATAATCAAAGTTGAAAGAAATTGTTAATCTTTATTTAAATGTTTTCCATCAGGAATTTTAACTCCACTTTCATGGATTATAGGAGGAGTTGCTGTAAGACATGAATATATTTTACTTTAAACAATCAATCATTTAGTAACTCTAGAATTGAAATAGAATAAAGGAGATTATTATGTAGATATGTAAATATATGATTACGATAAAAAGTTTGCTTAATATCTTAATAAAGAAAGAGAATGGAATCGTTAATTAGATATTTTGACATCTGAAGAAATAGGTGATTTAGATTTTTCATAAATCCATAAATTTATAGGAATTGTTTTAGTATGTTGGAAAAGCATAAATATGTTTAAAAAAGGGAAATATGAAGTTTTATTTAAAAATTGTAAGAATTTAAGTAGAGCTATATGTTATTTTTGTTCTAAAGATCCAAATATTGATTCCATAATGTAAAGTATACTTGGATTATATACTGATTGGTTATGTGATAATATTAAAAGAACTGAAATATAATGGATTCTAGATTACTTTTATAACTAAACAATATCTTCTGTCACTAAAATTAGAACTATAATGTAAGAAATCCACAAACTTAGATCAATAAAGGAAGAAGAAGACGAAGTTCTTAATTGGAATTTAATCTGAAATTCTTATTTATAATAATATCTTTTCATTCTTATATTAAAATCTAATTATTTGTAATTCTTTAATTTACACATTAACTTTAGAATATTCATATAAAATTTAATTATCTAATTATTATATAATATAGTATTGTTCTTAATTTTTAAGTTAATAATATAAATTATTAAATAATAATCTAAATAAGTAATTTAGATTTTCTATAGAATATGATTATCAAGAGCTTATAATTATTCATTTATAGTTTAAGTTTTGAGTTAAGGCAAATGGCGTAGATGGTTATCGCGCTGCATTTACACTGCAGAGGTCCCGAGATCGATACTCGGTTTGCCTATATTTTTATTTTTTTAATTAAATTTGAAATGATATTAAAATAAATAATTATCTCAATTAAAAAAATTAAATAAAGAGTATATTAATTAAACTTATAAATTATTATTTATAATGCTGATGTTAAATATATCTTGGATTTCATTTATATAAAATATTTGTTTATTATTATTGAGTCTTTTTTTAAATAATTATTATTAGAAATACTTATTTCAAATTTCTTTATTTATAGTATATTTATATTATAATACATTTGACTATGACCATATACTATGATTTATAATATATATTTAAATAATACTATATATTATTATTTCTATTTTAGAATTGATCAATAAAGAATATGATCTAAGATATTAATGTAAGTTTAAAAGAGAATATTATATTATATAATTGATATTATAAATTAATTCTATTATTTATAATTCAACTTATGATTTAATTTGATGTTGAAACTATAAAATCTCTTACTCCCCAATATTCTATTAATAAATTATTATTAAATACCATCTCCACTTCCTGATTCAATATTAAATATTAAAGTAAATTCAGATTAAGCATGACTTACATATAAATCTATCTCTACAACTTAATAAGTAGCCCCACCAGCAGAACAAAGTTGGGATGCATAATTTGTTTAAAGAACTTTCTGTCTCCAAACTTCTACATTATCAAGAGTGATAACTAGATATTCTGTGTTTGCCCAATTACTAAGGAAATATATATTCATCTGAATTCTCAATGACAAATGCGTTGGTAATGATTTATACAAGGCTCTAACTTGTTAAACTTTACTAATCACATTATAACCTCCTAAGATTTCCTTAGTATTACAAGTTGTAGCTTAGATACTATATGTTATAAGTTGCCATTTTTCATTGTCTGTAAGAGTATCTTAAGCAAAATCAATATCAACTAAAGAATAGACTGTTGCACATGTGCCTGAATCAGTACAAATTTCACAATCACAATTACCTGTGTATATTTCAAATTTATTAAATCCTTATAAGAAATTTCCACCAGTATAAGTACGTCCTTTAAATGTGATTCGAGTTAATAATGAAGTATGATCCACTTCTACTGCATAAAGAGTGTATTCTTCATACTTATCACCTGAGGCAGATCCTGCACAATTAACATCATTTGAACTATATCCAATTTAAATTGTATCTGCTAGATTGTCATCTACATATAAAAGGACATCATTTTATTTAGATTGAGAATACATATAAAATATCATTTTAAGTGTCTTATGAATATTTAAAGTAAAATCTTTATACAATGTATCATACAAAGCCATATATTAAATGGGAACTGATGCTTCTGTACATTTAGGTACAGAGATTCTAGGTGTTGCAGAGAATGATTAATAAGATGACCATTCAGATGGAAGACTACTTGAAAAAGAAGTTACTAAATGGGAAACACTTTATTAAAAGTCTAATATATCAGGATTTGTAACAATTTCTGTTGGACTATTTATACACAACATTGTTTAATCTTCACAAAGTAAAGCATATATATAAAAATCTCTTATTCCATAATATTCACCTGCAACTGAATCAGAATAAAATTAAAATGTTATTAATTGTGAATTAGATTCAAATTCAACATCAACATTAACATATTCTTCATTTGATCCAAGTGAACATATATTTAATGTTTTAGTTTTAGTTTAGTCAAAGTTCCATATATTATCACCATTTGCATAAAGAGCATGAGAAATAGAAGTGCTAATAGCATCAATTTTCCAAAATTGAAATTTAACTTTTACTTTATAAAATGTAGTAGGCAAATAAAATTTCTTAAAGATAGAAACACCTGTTGGAAAATAACCAAACATTAAAATCTCTATGTTATTAATTCAATTGATTACTATCACAAAACAATTATTATACAACAGAATCTTATACAACCCATCCTTGATTTGTTGTAAATGTACTTGTAGCAAAATTAGAGGTTTACAATAAATATTTTGGACATGTATCCAATGTATCTGAGTAACTACATAAATCACATCCAACTGGACATGTGATTGCTTATATATCAATATCTCTTACTCCCCATGATTCCTAATAATTAAAACATTAAAAATACATTGTTATTTGCTTCATCCAAAGTAGATGTAATTTCTATTATAACAGATGGAGCTGAATGAAAAAAAAAGATTTCTTAAAATAAAAATTAAGCAAAATTGTTAGTCAAGCCAGAATGAACTAATTATTTATTTACTACTACTCCATCAGCCTTAACGATAATATATTCACTTTCCCATTTATTTATCCTATTTTATTTTTTAACTAATCTTACGCCCATATTCTGAGTTTCATTCTTATAGTATGATGAGGTTAAGGAATCTCCAATAATTTGTAAATAGTTGTTCCAACTGCAAAACCGTTTTTTCCTCCAAAAACTGATTTACCCATTTGTGTATCATAAATAGCTGATGATCCAATTATTCCCCATCCTTTTTTAAATTATTTATTAATATACCTTGACTTGATGAAAATGTAGTCTCTGTAAAAAATGCTCCAATTTATTAAGAAGCCTAGTAGCTATTCAAAATAAAAAGACTTGATATCAATAAGATAATTTTAATCATATTTTTATATAAACACTATTTTTTTTCATAATTACTTTGCATAAATAATATTTATTATTTATAAATATTTATTAATAATAAATAATATAATTCTCATAATGAAAGTTTAGAGAATTCAAGTTCATTCAAATGAAAGCAATATTAATCAGAGAGACTCAAATTAACAGGTTTACTTATGAGTTCGCTTGGATCTTAAAATTATATTGTATTTTTATACTTTTCTTTTAAATTAGAAGGTAATATTGAATTTCTATTCCTTAAGCGATTTTATTTACATCTATATATATATTAGTGTAAAAGACTTTCGAGTTATTATTAATATCTTTATTTTTTTTTAATCTTTTTTGAATTTAATTATAATTGCTCATTAGGATAGCCACAGAAGTCTTGGAATCTGCTTTCAAAATTATTGAAATTTTTCTTTATTCCCATTTATTTTCTATGATAACATATATTTTATACTTATAATAATGGATTTATCATCCTTCCAATTTAAAATGCGATTTGGACCCTTCTCCCATTAAATAACACTATGAGTTTAAAGAAAGTAGTCTCCAATTACATATTTATATTCAAAAGGATTTTGATTTACATCAATTGATAATTACCAGAGAGAATCCTAAAACTTTTACTGAAATATTTTACTTTAGCACAAATCATACGACACATTTTATCAACTACCCAGTCACATTAAGAATTTGCTAGATATATAGCCTATCCATAATTTAGAGTGATTTCTATATTGAATTCAATAAGAGGCATAAGAAAATAAGTTATTTATAAATTTAATTAAGAGGCATTATGAATTTAAAATCAATTTGATCCTACTTTTAACTTGAATTAATAAACTAAGCATAGAAGATTAATTAATTTAAATCTCATTTATATAGATAATATTATGTAATTGTAGAAATCTTTCATTAATCTTATATTGTTGAGAGAATATGATGGGTTAGTAATTCTTTTCTGTATCGATAAATGGAGAATCTCAAATTTCTTACTAAAATAATTGATAGATAATTAAATGCAATAATTTTAATTCATTAATTAAAAATTTAATATTTTAACAATATATTTTATAATATTCATAAAAATTAATAAATAAATTAAAAAAATAAATTAAAATTGTTTGACATTTTATATAATAATTATATATTCCAAACATGTAGAATTTTATTCTTATTTTTTTATAATAAAATGTAAAAATTAACATAGAGTCATTAGTCATTAGAAACTATTCATTTTTACAAGGGAGGGAGCTTAATTGTATTTTTTAAAACTTTCATTTGAATATTTTTCTTAGATTTAAGGAATCTAAAAATCATCTCTTTATTCCTCTTATTTTTCTTGAATTGGTGATTAACATATATTATTATTATTTATTGTTTTCTTGCCTTTAATTTTTTCAGAAGAGAGATAAGAATCAAAAGGTTTTAGTTCATACATTTCTTAAATCATATTTTTAATTTCTGCAATGTATTTATGCTAATTATAAAAATTCCACATTGTACTTTTTATTCGATTGAACTTATTTTGTTGTAATGAATAATTTATAGTGTGGCTTCATTTTAGAGGAAAGAAATAAAAAGGTCTTTGAGTAAATTCTTGCAAAGCTTAGACTCTTTGGGTTCGTTAACTTAAACTTGAAAGCATCTCTATAAGTCACCTAATTCAAATCGTTATTGTTTGGATGTCTAAATAATTGTAAATTTTAAATTACTTTAGATTCTTATACATTCTGTAGATATTTATAAGCAGCATCTTGCTCCATCATTTTGGCCCACTTTTTGAAACGAGAAAGGAAGAAATGAGGTATGCGTCTAAGGATTATAGAGCTTATTTGAATACCTTCTAAAGTCCTGATCTTCCTTAATGTCAGGATTGGGATAAGGATGAGAAACATTGTTAGATTTCTCCGAGTCAGAATTGACTATTAAAATATAAATGTAATGGAATACCACGTATTTTTCTTGAGGAGGGCTAAGGATTGAGTTATTACTTGATATCATCATGAAACCTTTAAATGATGGAGAGAGCATTGGCAAAAGAATTAAATTGATCTTCATCAGCCTCCAGAATGATTTTTTTGTTTTTTTGTTCAAGGACCTAGAAGATAAAGATAAGTGTTAGATATAGTACTCGATATTTGAAGAGAGAAGGTTCATTATTGCTTTTCATTTATTATAATTAATGAGAATGCGTAATTAGATTGCTGTATTCATCATGGGGTCTTGGCTTTAAGGACCTGGATGATTTCATGGTATATCTGCAAAGGTATAATGTCAATACGATTTTGCCCAATCCGGGCTTATATTTTTCTATCTTCCTAAAAGTACGTTTAATCTTCAAAGTTTCTTCTTTAAGTATTTCGTCATCCTCTCGTATTGGTGTTCCTGTGGCATCTAACTTGAGGGAAGTGACAACTCGATTATGGGTGTAATTAAGAGTTTCACAACTTGCTTATTGTTATTCTCCACTTAACATTCCAGCTCTCTCAAGTAATTCAAAAAGTAATTAGGTTTTCTTGGCATTTTTAATGAATGGATGTGTAAGTAATTAAGCAGCAGTTGGTCTCAGACGAGGATCTCGTTGTAAACACTAATGTACAAAATCTATCATTTCATTTGGATAATCTCCACTTAATTTTGGAGGTTGTTAGACTATTTTAAAGATGACCTTTTATGGAGGGACATCTTCATAGGGAATCTTGGAAGTGATTAATTCAAATGCAGTGATACCAATAGCCCAAACATCAGTTTTCTAATCAGTCAAAGAGGATTAAATGGTCTATATATAATGAAAAGGTTCTTTTACTTCAGGAGCCATCCAATAAGGGAGACTGAGGATATGTGATTATGATTTATTAATGGTATCAGCAAATTCTTTATTGGTAGAAAAATAGGAGAGTTTAACCTTGGCTTCTTGGGATAGGAAAAGATTAGCAGCTAAAAAGAGATTTAGGGTAAAAATAATAAAACTCACATTTAATATGTCGATGCACAAGACCTTCTTAATGGATCTCCTATACACCAAGTAAAAGTTCTCTTATGATCACTTGTACATATTGAGTCTCTAAAGTCTGTTTATTGATCTTGAATAAATGAATCAAATCTTTTAATGATCCTCCAGCAAAGTATTCCATCACAATAAAGAGTTTACCATCTTGTCCAAAACACTTATCAACCAAACATATATTTCTAAAAGGTTTAGTACGATAAGTTTAAACAGCTTAAGCCAATTCTGCCTGATTGACTAAATTGATGACTTTTATGGCTACTATAAGTCCTGTTTTTTTATCCAGTCTTTAATGATATGATTATGATATTACGCTTTATAAACAGTGGAATAGTCTGTACGGTCTAATGCACAAAGAATATCATAATCTTCAATTGAATGTATTTAGTGATCCAGACTAATGAAATTCATAATTACATACAAAATAAATCAATGATAATATGCTATATATGTACATTCCATACCAAACTCTACTCATTAAATGAAATAAGCTTTAATTTTCAAACATGAATCCCCACATGTCAAAGCTGATTTCCATGAGAATGATACTAAAGACCCTATCAAGATTCTTCAATCAATTTATGATCAATATGATGCTTAGTTTGTAGAAGAGATTATACTTGAAGAACTTGAAATACCTGAAATTACACCTGAATTGAGAGATAAACTTTAAGAGTTTCCAAATGTTCATAGTTTTGGCATTAATAGATGTGGATTATAAAGTTTAACAAATTTTCCATCTTTTAAACATTTAGTTAGATTTCAGGCAGATGGTAATCTTATTAAAGCAAAATAAATTGGATATTTAAAGAAATATACAGAATTGCGATCTATTTCTTTGATTTGTAATTAGATTGATGATCCAAAAATAATGATCAAATATTTAAAGGAAATGAAAATTACTTAACTTAATTTATATGGGAATCCAATGCAAGATTATTTTAAATTATTCTTTGATGAAATACCTTCTTTGATTTACTTGGATAATCTCTAAAAAACAGGTGCAGAAGTTTATTATGATTATGATGACACAAATGAATTGAGTAAATAGGATGGTTATATCTGTCCCAATTATAAGGAATACAAAAGTTGATATTTATATATCATAAAATTAATTAATTACATCGCTTATAATAGTGATTTTCAGGATCTCTTATTATATACACTAACTATGAGAATGCCTGTCAAGACTTATTTGTAGAGGTTGTATGTAAGTCAGTTTGCTAAAAGTAGTAATTACTATAATAATTAATGGATGATATGGATATGATGAATATTGAAGATTAATTTAAGTGTTTTATGAATAAATTGTAATAAAATTAGAATAAACATCAATTATCTTAAATAATAAGTGGATTAGATAAATTAAGATAGTATTAAATTATAGTTAAATACTATTGTACTTGAAAATAGAGTTTATGATAANATGATCCTCCAGCAAAGTATTCCATCACAATAAAGAGTTTACCATCTTGTCCAAAACACTTATCAACCAAACATATATTTCTAAAAGGTTTAGTACGATAAGTTTAAACAGCTTAAGCCAATTCTGCCTGATTGACTAAATTGATGACTTTTATGGCTACTATAAGTCCTGTTTTTTTATCCAGTCTTTAATGATATGATTATGATATTACGCTTTATAAACAGTGGAATAGTCTGTACGGTCTAATGCACAAAGAATATCATAATCTTCAATTGAATGTATTTAGTGATCCAGACTAATGAAATTCATAATTACATACAAAATAAATCAATGATAATATGCTATATATGTACATTCCATACCAAACTCTACTCATTAAATGAAATAAGCTTTAATTTTCAAACATGAATCCCCACATGTCAAAGCTGATTTCCATGAGAATGATACTAAAGACCCTATCAAGATTCTTCAATCAATTTATGATCAATATGATGCTTAGTTTGTAGAAGAGATTATACTTGAAGAACTTGAAATACCTGAAATTACACCTGAATTGAGAGATAAACTTTAAGAGTTTCCAAATGTTCATAGTTTTGGCATTAATAGATGTGGATTATAAAGTTTAACAAATTTTCCATCTTTTAAACATTTAGTTAGATTTCAGGCAGATGGTAATCTTATTAAAGCAAAATAAATTGGATATTTAAAGAAATATACAGAATTGCGATCTATTTCTTTGATTTGTAATTAGATTGATGATCCAAAAATAATGATCAAATATTTAAAGGAAATGAAAATTACTTAACTTAATTTATATGGGAATCCAATGCAAGATTATTTTAAATTATTCTTTGATGAAATACCTTCTTTGATTTACTTGGATAATCTCTAAAAAACAGGTGCAGAAGTTTATTATGATTATGATGACACAAATGAATTGAGTAAATAGGATGGTTATATCTGTCCCAATTATAAGGAATACAAAAGTTGATATTTATATATCATAAAATTAATTAATTACATCGCTTATAATAGTGATTTTCAGGATCTCTTATTATATACACTAACTATGAGAATGCCTGTCAAGACTTATTTGTAGAGGTTGTATGTAAGTCAGTTTGCTAAAAGTAGTAATTACTATAATAATTAATGGATGATATGGATATGATGAATATTGAAGATTAATTTAAGTGTTTTATGAATAAATTGTAATAAAATTAGAATAAACATCAATTATCTTAAATAATAAGTGGATTAGATAAATTAAGATAGTATTAAATTATAGTTAAATACTATTGTACTTGAAAATAGAGTTTATGATAATTAAACTATTTATCTTTTTTACTTATTTACTTTTAAGTTCAATCAATAAATAGATCTATCATTGTTACGATAATAAGATACATTTTTCAAATTAGAAATAGAAGATGTGGTTCATGTATATTATTCATATTCTTGATTTTTTAAAAACTAATATTATTTTTATTTATATTAGGATGGAAACTAATTTAATAGTATAGATTTTATGAGCAAATAAGGTGATTGTTAAAAGAATGATATTTAAATAGGTTCTACAAAAAGTTCTATCCCAATTAGATTGTAACAACCACATAATACAGTTTGCTCAATTAAACGGTTTTGTTGAGTTTGAAGCTAACTACACTAATAATTAAATCTATAATTACTTTTATAAATTTTAATTAAATCTGTGTTATGTTTTAGAAATATCCAATAATTTACATCTTGAAAAACAACTTAATTTTAAATTGATATCATCTTGATTAGGGTTTAAATGATACAGTAGTTTCTAATCTTTCTCTTAGACTAATAATAAATTCTTTCTTACTAACACTAATTTTTATAGATTTAAATATTCTGTAAATCTAAAATCTATATTTTACTATCCATTAATATCAATTTGAAACTCTAATTATTTTGGAGTGAAATAATAGGATTTTTATATAACATTTAATTCTTTTTAATGATTTTGGAATGTCTTTTATATCATTATGATTTTTTAATAAATTTGATTAAGAATAGGAAATTTAATATTTCATAATGGATCAAACAGAGTTGTATTATAAAATAAAAGGAGAAATAGCCAAACTATGAATTTCTATTATTAGTTCTGAATTTGAAACTTAAAAAATTTATATAGTTAATTTTTATAGAGTCTAGAATTTTATAGATAACTAAAAACTCTTATATCATCAAATAATTATTTTACTTAATCTTATGATAATAACAAAAATATAAATTATTAATTCTTATTTATTTATCTCTACATAAAGGAGAAACACTAGATAAATAGTAATTAAAATAGACCTGATAAAAATTAATTATACAAATAATAACGCTTTTGATTTGTATTTATTATTATATTTAATCTATAAATTAAAAAATAATTGTTATTAAATATAAAATAAATTTTCATTAAAACAATAAGATTTCTACATATTTATACTATTTGATTATTATTTGTATTCTTTTGTTTTACAATTTATTAATATCTAATAATATAATTGTATAAATTTATTAACAATCTTGGTGTTTAAGTTATTTGCTTAATGCTTATAAGTTATAATTGATAAATAAAATGTAGAAGATTGATTATATATAGTTTGTAAATTAAAATTAAATTATGTTAACAAAAAGTATAAGATTATTCAGACAATTTAGATTTTGTTAGGCTCATGAAGAAATTACTAAAAAATAGGCTGAATGGTCAATTATAGCAAAATAGAAAACATTATAGTAATTTAACAATTAATTTCAAGACAATAATAATATTTAGAATAAACATTAACATAAGACTAAAAGTTAAGATTAAGGGCAATAGCTGATGCTTGTTGTGAATTAGATCTTTTCGAATTATAATGTTTAATGAGCTTATTGAATGAAAATCACTACAAGGCTCAAGGTCTAGGAATTTTTGAGATTGATTCAAATTGGCCTGTAATAAAATAAAATGAAGTACCAACTTGGCCTCCAAAAGAGAAAGAATAAATTGAAGCTTACATGAAAGATCTATTTGGAGAGAATGTCGTAAGATAAATATTAAATTATTTAGCCAGATTTCAAAGCTATTTTCGGTGGTGTAGGATCAATAGGAAATTAAGCCCCAACATAAGCTACTAAAGAAACACCAAAGTAAGAAGAGAAATAAGCAGATGCTGCACCAAAAGTTGAAGCTGAAGTAATTATGTATGTAAAATAAAGAAAAAAAATTATGATATAGAATTGAGTGCTATTGATGCAGCTCAGAAAATAAAAATAATTAAAGAAGTTAGGTATTTTTGAATAAAATCAATTTAGATAATTACTCAATTTAGGATTGAAAGAAGCCAAAGATTTAGTTGAGAAATTACCAGCCAATTTAGGTAAATAAATACCAAAAGAGAAAGCCAATGAATTAAAAGAAAAATTAACAGCTGCTGGATGTACAATTATTTTGAAGTGAAAATTATAAAAATATCATTTCATAAATTTGACAATAATTCTTTAAAGTCTTTTAAGTTTAAAGGCTTGGATAATACATATGTCATCCCTGCATCTAAACAATTTACTATATCTGATTCACTTGTGAATGCTGTTAAACCAATAATATTAATGGAAGGAATCTTCTAGGTTTATATCATCTCTAAGATAATTTTTGTTGTTTCTATTCCATTTAATATTGGCATTTGATAATCCATTAAGATTACATCAAGTAATTAACAATGATCACAGCACTTTTTTAATTGGTTCAATTTATCTATCGCTTATTACCCATTGAAAGCCTAAGGATAAACTATTTAATACTAACCACCAAAACTTCAAAATCTAATTTTTATAGCAACATACACAATGAATGTTAATTGAATACTTCATCATCAACTGATAATATCCTTCTACAATTACATTTCTTTTTTTAAACAAAATTCAATAAATTCTACTAACTTTCTTAATCCTCCAAAAATTTTAATTATTTAATACTAAAAACCTATGATCTTGAACTTCTACTTGATTTTAAATCTTTAAATTATTATTATATAGATGGTGAATCATTTTATTATCCTAAATATTTGAAATCTATATTTTGACTTGAATCAGAACTTTATGAATCATTTAAATTACTAATTAATTTAGGATCTGATGATCTCAATTCTTTTATTTAATGATTTAAAGGTAAGAAATCACTTGATTTATCAATTGATAACATATCAGTACATAATTCCATTGTTTTAAATTAAGGAGTAACTATATCATTATTTTAAAAATTAGACACTGGCTTTACTGAAGTCACAATAACAGTTCCAATTTATATTTTATTCTACGAATTTATTTTTGTTCCAAATCTAACTGATTTTCTAGAAAGCATAACTGATTATCCTCTATTTTAGTCTTCTACTAATATTGTAACTTTGGTTCCTAAACTCTTTCCTTAACTTTTAATTTATAAATGCTATTTATTTGCATTAGTTGATAATTTTGTTAATAAAATTGATGAAATTAAAAGTCCAAATCCATGCCAACTTTTATTAAAGATAAAATCAGATGTTTCTTAGAATTGACATAGAGTTTTTTAGATTCTCTCTAATTTCTCTTATTCAATACCAATCCCTTAATCTTTGATAGATATTTTCAATATATTTTATTCAAGTGATTTAAATCGAACTACTACATTACCACTGTATGAGAATTTTAAAGAATTAGCTAACAAATTCACTATTATTTATATTAGACGATTATAGTCAGTATTAAATGTTTAAAAATTATTTTTCAACATTACTATTTTTAATCCCATATTCTTCATTTCAAATTATTATTAAAAGAGTCCACTAATTTCATTTATTAATTCTTTGAATGTAAAATCTTTAGTTTAAAGATATAATGAATTTGCATAATAATTTGAAAAATCAATTATATCATTAATAATATATGATTATAGTTTTAATGAATTAAATGCTGGATGTAAATATTAGTTTTTAATATAATTATCTATTTTTGATTCAGTAATTGCTGATTCTATGAGATTTTTAGCACTATTTAAAGGTGTTTTCATTTCATGAGAAAATGATTCAATAATTTTTGATTTAAAATCATCCTTGATTTTCTATTATGATAATTCAGTTTATTTTGAGATATCATTTAAAAAGATAGTAATCTCTTTATTATCACTAATGATTTATCCACTTAAAGAAATAGAATTAAAATTCTATAATTTGAGAGTACAAGATATATCAAGAGACTTATTGCTTGAAGCTTATATTAAAGAATCATACTCTCCTTTTTTATATTCTTCTAATATTTACTCTAAAGTTTTAGTTTATACACTAATAACCTGTTTGGTCGATTCTAAGTTCTTAAATTCTCTACAAGAGGGATCTCTTTATTTATCTCTTAATCTTTTCATTTAAAGTGAGGCACTTTTAAAAACCTCAGTGTATTATTAAGGTATCTAAAAATTTAATTCTTATAATATAATTTTCGATAATTCTTCTTCTAAAGCACATCTAAACAATTCCATAAAGCATTAATTTATGTATTTAACACATAAGTTTGAATAACTTAATATTAGCACTTATACATTCATATCTTATATTCTCTTTCTCCAAATATTATCACTTGTTTTTGAGTATTCAGATGGAGACTGTAATTCATTTAGTTATGATTATAAATAATGATTTTTATTCTAAAACTGTTCTTAGTATTAAATAAATTTTAGAATATCAAGTGATATTAATGTTAATGAGCAAACAAAACTTATTGCATCAATCTAAATTAAACATACTGATAATATTAGACTTAATTTTCCAAAAATATTAGCCAGCAAAGCTACTTTTGCTAAATATTGATCATAATTAATCTCTAATGAATAGCACATCTGAATAGATAAATATATGCCGCTTGGTGATTATATTATTGATATTACAATAATTTCAAGTATCCTATTTACAAATATAATATTCAACATTATATTATGAGTAATTTTATCCTTTAAAAGATACA